GGAGCTGGGATTTGGGGGAGTTGGGTAACTCATGTGCCTCTGTCAAGGGGCCCTTGGAGGTAAAGCACAGCGGGGCAGGAGGAGGCCTGGCTCAGCGGCCCTGTGGGCTGAGGGCACGGGGCGCCCTCTCTGCAGGACCGGCTGGGACCCCGCAGTCAGGAAGCTCTGCTCCGGGACCCTTGCACTGGGAGCAGCTCTTTATCACCTAGAGCTTGTTAGAATGAAAGACCTGGGCCCCCATCCAGACAGACTGAATCGGAATCTGCGTTGCCACAGGGTCCCAGGTGCACCCTGTGCACAAGTATTAACGTTCCAGAAGCTCTGCTCTAGGAGAAAATAGTAGGTGGTGGAGTTGAGACCCAGTCTCCAGGGTTCAGGAAGCAGAATATTCGCAAAAACCACTCCTTCTGAAAGCAACACTGGACGAGTGCTAAAAGCCCGAGGACAAGAGGAAGAACCTCTAGCGGACTTACCGCTCTTCTGTGAACCTGAACTTTGGCCAGAGTGACTCACGTGCTTTAATCCCTGACCAATTTCTGAAACGGCCTAAAACTTAATCAGTGCTTGGCTGGTCATCAGCGGAAAAGACTGTCTACCCAACCACCAGAAACCAGAGAAGAAGTGAAAAAGGGCTCTCAGGGGCGCCCGGGTGACTCAATCAGTTAAGCGTCTGACTCTTGATTTTGGCTGAGGTCACGGTCTCATGGTTCATGAGTTTGAGCCCCATGACAGGTTCTGTGAGACAGCACGGAACCTGCTTGTGATTCTCTCTCTCCCTCTCTCTCTGCCCCTCCCTCACACACTCTCAAAATAATACATAAAGAAACTCAAAAAAAAAGCCTCTGAGTCCCCAAATGCTCAACTCTAAAGTCATATAAATCGCAAATGCTTACAGGGAACCTATCTTAGATCCTCACACAGAGATGAATTACTCTTATTTTGACAGAGTTTTCCTATCAGCTTGATTTTCTCTGTTCTGTCCCACCAGGTAGAAAGGCTTAAGTTAAAGGTGATGAGGTCTCCTAGAGGCAAAACACGAAATGCAGAGAAAGTGGGCACCCCAGCCACTTGTTTTGTTTTGTTTTGTTTTGCAGAAGGCAGGAGAGAGCTCACGATGTTTTGGGACATTTTCTATCCAAAATGCTTAAAATTCTAAGAAATTATTTGTATTTGAAGACTCTTGCCTCTGTGAGCCCCTCCCCCCTCCCCGATCTGGTAAGGAAGACATCGGGTAGTTGGGTACAAGTGGCCCACACAGCCTTGGGTGGCACACGATAGAAACTCCTCATTTGCCTTTCAGTGATTTTCAGTTTCCTTTTCCTTTTATGCTTTGGATCTATTTAGAATCCAATATATCACTGGGGACCATGAATCTGAGTACAACGGAAACATCCTGTTGCACATGGTGGGCCCCTTCTATGACTCCCCATTGAGAACACACGGCTTTACCAGGTTCTCCTTTGTCACCGTTCCATCATTTGATAGTTCAGCCGCTGGCTCACCTGAAGGGAGGTTGGCAGAGATTTTCCATTTTTCTTTGCGATGTGCTTAATGATCCTCATGGCTTTAGCATTTTTGTTCTGGGAGATCAGCCACCTTGGAGACTCAGGGATGCACCTAGGGAATAGCATAAGTGTTATCAGAGCTGTTCAGTGGGGGATGGGTGGAGGCCTTACTGAACCTTCTTCCCGCAGTGGTCATAGTCAAGTGTCTGCAAGTGAGGTTGGGGTGGATCTACAAAGGAAATAAAACTGTGCAGGGGCGGCACAGCAAAGGAAATCGACAAAAACAGAAAGCAGCCTACTGAATGGGAGAAAGCATTTGCAAATCATGTGCCAGGTTAAGAGGTTCATACCCCAAATATATAAAGAACTCATACAACTGAGTAGCAAAAAACCAGAAAATCTGATTTGGAAAATGGGCAGAGGATCCTAATAGACATTTTTCCAGAGAAGACACACAAATGGCCAACAGGTACATGAAAAGATGCGCAACATCACTAATCACCAGGGAAATAGAAATCAAAACCACGAGAGGATATCACTTCACATCTGTTAGGATGGCTAGTCTCAAAAAGACAAGCAATAAACTCTGACAAGGGTGTGGAGAAAGGGAAACCCTTATGCACTGTTGGTAGGAGCATAAACTGGAGCAGCCACTATGGAAAAGAGTGTGGAGTTCCTCAAAAAATTAAAAATAGAAAGCACAACATGGTCTAGCCATTCCACTTCTGGGTATTTATTAGAAGGAAACAAAAATACCAATTCAAAAAGGTATATGCACTCCTGTGTTTACTCCAGCAAGTCATGGAAACACCCTAAGTGCCCGGGGATGGATGAATGAATGGCTGAAGAAGATGTGGTGTATATTACACAATGAAATAGTATTCAGCCATAAATAAGAATGAAGTCTTGCCATCTGACAACATGGGTGGGCCTAGAGGGTATTACGCTAAGTGAAATAAGTCAGAGAAAGACAAACACCACATGATCTCACTTATATGTAGAATCCAAAACAAACAAACAGACCGAGCTCACAGATACAGAGCACAGATGGGTGGTTGCTGGCGGAGGACGTGGACAACATCGGGGCAGGGGGTCAGAAGGCACAAACTTCCAGTTACAAAAGAATTAGAAGCCCTGAGAATGCGACGTATGGCGCGGTGACTACGGTTAATAGAACTGTATTGCATGTTTGAAAGTTGCTGAGACAAGCCGTCTTCAAAGTTCTCTCACAAGAAAAGAATTTTTTAAAATTTTGCAGAGGCTACGTGGGTTTTTCCTCCCTCACACGCTGACTTGTGTTCAGCCTTGTGCAGGAGACTTTTGGGGCATCCTCTTCAGAGTCCCCGGTGGTCAACCGGATGCCCAGGCAGGAGGAGAGGCAGGTCAGCTGGGCTTTGCGAGTGCTGAGATCTGCCGGGTATGGGGACAGCGGAATGCAGTTCCTTCACGGGGGGAAACCAAGTATTTTACGTATCACATTTGACGCACAGGTTCAGCCCAGTCGCTCACACCCCCAGAAGCAGAGTCGGCCGAGCCAGGTGTCAAGCGAGCTGAAGGGTCAAGGAGGACCTGGGAGCCACGTCGGAGAAGACAGGAACCAGAAATGGCTAGCCTCCCAGTGGAACGTCTGGATGGATCCTCGGAGGCATACCCAGATAGGTACAGAGCTGCCCGGTAGAATAGAAATTAATTTTTTGAAGCTCTCAGTGCAGAATTAGGAACCCTGGGTAAACATGCCGGGAAGGTAAATTCCGGGTCAATGAGAAGTCTCTTGAAGACGAGCTTTGGGTTCTGCAGTGAAGTCGCTTGCTTGATGACAGAGTAAGAGCGAGAACAGTTTTCAAGCAGAGGCTGAATAATGATCCTCTGGGGGCATTGCTCTGGGGCTCCAGCCCTGGGCAGGAAGCTGTGCCAGAGGGCTTCTAATGTCACCTCACCTCTAAGAGCTGACAGCTACTGGGACACACATGCCAGTCCCACAGTGTCAGGTGAACAGCTGATCCCAACAAGCAGTGAAACGTGAAGGTTACAGAGACATGAGAGAAATGCCACTGGGCAGGGGACAGGGCCCCCCACTGGCCTTGGTCAGCCTGCATGGAGTCCCTCCTCTGGTGACCATCGCATCCCCTCCTCCCCTGTAGCCCACCCCCTACCCCTTCTAGCCATGGCACCGCCTCTGTCTTCTGTCCTGGCTCCTTGTCCTCAGCTAGGCTTTCAGAATTTAGTATATTTTTTTTGTGTTCTGCCCCATTCGCTTCCTCTCCGGGCTCTGCTCCTTTCCTCTGAGGGGCTGCCTCTATCCCCTACCCACCAACAGGGGGATTTTTCTTGAATTCCTGATCCTCAGGTTCAACCGCCCCTGGCCGTGTACACGTTGATGTCCTTTCCAGATGGATCTCAGATTCGGCGTGTCCAAAGCTCGCCCTCATCATCCCTCCTTTCAAACCCACCCCTCCTCCTGTACTCCTTATCTCAGCACGTGCAGACACAGAAGCCTCCACTCCACCCACGAGGCACTTCCTCTCCCTAAACCTTCCCATTTGGTCTCCACCAGGCTCTGTCCCTGCTCGCTGATGAAACTTATTTCCAGTTTTCTCCTCTTCATAGGCCACCACTTGTCTTAACTCAGGCTCTGTCTCTCTTGCAAGGATTATGGCGATAGTCCCTTACTTAACCTCTTTGCCTCCACTCTTCCCCCTAAACACCTGTTTTCTACTCTATATCTCCACTGATTTTCGATGATGTAGTCCCATCACGGAGGTCGCAGAATTGGAAGTAAATGAAATTTGATTCTATTGAGTAAAAATGGCAAGAAGCAACACATCAGAGGTGATCAGAACTTGGATGAGAGATGCACCTTTTCTGTGATGCTAAAGCATCAGGAGAACAAAACCGTTGAAAGATTTTTAGGCAGGAAGGGAACACGGTGGAACTAATTTTAGAAATGGAGTGTGAAACATGCATTGGAGGATATGGAAGAGCGAATGTCAAAGAAACCAGGGTGAGTCTATCGTGGGGGTGGCTTCAGAGATATAAAGGAGATAGAATGGATATGGGAGGGAGGTAAGGGTCCCTCTCAGAGTTTGACCGGATTTTGGAGGAGAGCCAGGCTTTCTGGAAAGGGTTGAGATGCTTAATTCTTAGGATGACTCTAGGAGGAACAGGTGACTACGTCCAGAAAGTGGTTTCTTGCTTGAGAGAGGGATTTGCACGATAACCTAACATCCCTCTTGTTTTATTTCAGGTAAACTCGCATTAGGAATTTCTGATAGTTTCTGCTGTTTCCACGGTTTCCCCGGCAGGTGTGACAAACAAGTTTCACATGTCCTGACGACTCTGACTGACATGGTCTGCCTGATCTGGGATAAAGACTGCTGGATTGATTGGAGATGTGTGCCTTGGGCAGGGATGTGGGAAGTGGTAACACTTGTAGGCTAAAGTCTCCTCTGAGCAGGGATGGAATGAGAATAGTAATATTGTCAACCTCTGCCAAGGGCATTACAGCCACTAAAAGTTAATTTAAACACCACATTAATAATGTAAAAAGATGTGAGTTATAAAACTCTTAAGCCCGAAGCAAAAGGACATTTGATTTCCAGAGGGCAAGACACGTTGAAGTTCATGGGGTTTTTTTGTTGTTTTTGTTTTGTTTTGTTTTGTTTTTATCCCTGAAACACTGACCTGGGCTTTCCATGAAGGGAAAGAGTGAAGGACACCTTGCAATACAGAAGGATGGTGTGCATTAAGGAGAGGTAGCCCTTTCAGGAAAACAAAATAGTTCAAGTTATTTCCTTTTTGGTTCCAAATGGACTTACCAGTAATAGAGCAAGAAGAAGACGTTGGGCAGGGAAACAGTGAGCTGGAGCCACCTCCAGTGAGGAAGCACGTATGCCACCCCCACCAGCGCCAGGAGCCCAACGGTGAAGGCCATTTGGTAAACGATGCCCACTGTTCTCCGATAGCTCAGCCCGACAAACTCTGTAACTGCAGAGAGAATCCAAACGGTCAACGCAAGTCAGTAGGACAGGGAGTTGGCCATCCAACTTCGGGGAAACTAGAGTGCCAGCCTCAAAAAAGAGTCCAAGTTCTAGAATGTTGTATACAACTTTCTGAATAATTTTAAGTGTTCTTTGGGACTGATTTTGTTATAATTTTGCTGTTGTAGTAATATAAGATCTTGTAATTCCACATTGGGTTGGGGTGGGGGGAGGCCTGCCAGTGTGAGCAAACTGTTTGATCGATAGAATAATTTCCAGGGAAAATGTGACTGGATTTCAGATACATGCAAAAAAAATGTTTTTTTGAAGCAATCCAAAGTTTTTATTTTTTTTAAGTTGTGTTTGCTTTTTTTTAAAACACTTTTTTAAAAGTTTATTTATTTTTAAGAGAGAGACAGAACATGAGCTGGGGAGGGGCAGAGAGAGAGAGGGACACAGAATCCGAAGCAGGCTCCAGGCTCTGAGCCATCAGCACAGAGCCTGATGCGGGGCTGGAACTCACAAATCCCGAGATCATGACCTGAGCCGAAGTCAGATGCTTAACTGACTGAGCCACCCAGGTGCCTCATGTGATTGCTTTTTTTTTTTTTACGTAACCCAGTTGTTTCTAATTGCAAAAGTTTGATCTAGAGTAGTAAGGCAGGGGTAATTTATGATGTGAATAAATGGATCAAGCACTGAATTGAGATTGTAAAGGATTCTTATGTAAATAAACATCTCTTATATGAGTTAAGTATTTTCTTGCCAATTCTAATAATGCATGTAAATGTCTTGGAAACCTAGCAGTGGGTTTCCCAACTGATTGGAGTCTGCTAGCATTGGCTTGCACGAACTGCTTTATAAATTTTCAGGGATTTTGCAACTTGGTCATTAAACCCATTAACCTCAGTCATGGTGGGAGTATTTACAACTTAGATATCAGACAACTCCACAAATCAGGGCTCTTTATTTTCCAAGAGCCAGGTTGGCAGCATAGCTCTGCATGTGGCATACGAATCAGCTTTCCCCCATTCCATGGCTCCACCCTGACAGATGTATGAAGTCTGCAGGACATGGATTTAGGGGATAGTCATTTCGTTATCGCAAACACTCTAGAACTTCAATTCCAGATATTCCACGAGCCACAGACCTTTTGCTTTAAATGTTTAGGAATTGTATTCAAGACGTCAACTATTTATAAACCAAATATAAATGCGCCCCCAAAATATTTCTAGAAATTACTGCCAATTATCAAAAAGTATTTAAAACAGAGTTAAACAAAAGTCTGTAAGTGCTCAATAAATAGAAATATCTGCCTTTCAAAGTGGTTGCGGCCACGGAGAGGTCTGAGGGTGGTGGGGAGGGAAGAGGTCAAGCAGCAAGGTGTACCTCAAGGACATTCAGAGGGACTGGAGAAGAGATTAATGGGCAGAAGGCCGAAATTTAAATTTATACAATGAAATTACACATATTTCTACATATCATGTGTTCTAAAAACCAATTACTGGTTGAATAACTGTACATTAATTAATTCCTTCGTTGCCTGGGAATACGTTGGGGAGGTGCCTACCAAGACAGTAGCCTTCTGCATCTCACAGAGTTCCCCAAATTAACTTTACCAGGTGCAATTTTAAGCACACATATTCCAGCTCTTCGTATTCTAGTTCTCATGGTTAATGAGAGTTTTATGATGGTGATGGTTTGGATTTCAAAGCGCCCATTTCCCTTTGTATGGATGCTCTTTGAATGTAGCCAGGGGCAAGTAATGATGGCGTTAATCCCCCAGATCTAATTATGGTGCTAATTTTTCTCACTATGGCTTTAAAGGCGCTATGCTATTTATTGGGATTCAAGTATTCTCCCGGACTCCGTGGAGTTTAAGCATAACTGGCTACCAGTGTGTGGGATGAAATGATATTCCTGGTCAGACAAATGCCTGTCAAATCTAGATTGCCTACGGGGCTTATATTCTCCGTTTTCTTGTATATAAATTGAGGAGAACAGTGGTTTGCAAGAATCCATTTATGCAAAGCAGTGAAGTCCCTCATAAAGCTGACGTATGTCTCACCGTTGAATTTTCTTTATGTATAGACCTGGAGGGCTAGATTTTTCTCTGTATGTAACACCCCCGGGTATAGAAAGCTTTTTCCTAAAAAGTTATATTAGAATCTGGATGGTATGTTTACCCTCATTTCTGCCTTCATTGTTTTCTTTATAGAAAGAATGTAGACTGAGTTGCTGAAAAGATTTTAGAAATACTTCTGATAGAGAAAAAAAAAATCTCCCAACATTTTCTTGAAGCTGGGTCCGTTTTGGGGCCCAGCCCTTCCCTTCTCCTATGGATTTTGGCACAATGTCACTTAATTCTCCAAGCAGCAGCCACATTCTTACTCAGGATGTAGCCTATAAGCCAGCCTGCCTTGCTGACCAGCCCCTGGATCAAACGGAAAATTAACACCCAGGTATAGTTTGGGGAAATGGCCAGCAGGAGTCCTGATGCAGCATTTATGAGGATCGTAACCAGTAGGCAGAGCTTACGGCCAAACCTGCAAGGAGAGAAAATAGAATTAGATTAGATTCATGAAGGCTGTAGAAAATGCACAGAAGTTATGGAAGTCTCAAGAGGAGGTTGGCTCTGAATTAGGCAAACTCAGGAGACGCGGATTGATGCCCACCTAGGGAGGATCCCCGACTTTAGGTCAGTTTACTTTAGTACTTTTCCCCAGGGCACTCTGTGAAAATTCTATGCCTCATTCACCCCAGGGCCCCAGAACCTTCTCAGTCTCACACTGTGGAGGGTCTTCAGGCAGGGTGACTCTTCCAGGCCACCCAGGGGCCCATCTGGGTCTTCCATCATCCTATAAGCTGGGGCCTCTGCACCAACAGTCTCCACCAACTGCCCACCCCAGAGAGTTTTTCTTTCGGAAAAACAAAAATTTCAATACTGCCTTTGGACTTTGTGGTATTTGCATGTCTCCCCGGAAATGGTCTCTGGTGTCAGCTGCGGGGGCGGAGGGCCTTTGTCATGGAGTACCCCAGGTTAGCTTCTTCACGTTCTATCTGAGAGACTTGGGTTTTCATCAGCTTAGGGACCTGGAGAGGGTCCCAGGACACAGAGGAGGGGAAAACTTTGAAACCTGGTTGAATCTTGGCCTTACCAATTACTCCGATGTCTGTGTTAGTCAACCTTTCTGTTTCCTCAGCTGGAAAAGACCTGTCCTACCCAGTCGACAAGAGGGTTAAGTGAGATATTACACGGAAAGAGCTAGAGACACTGGCTTCCTTTCCCCCCATGTCTTTCCTTCTGTGTGTCAAGCAGGCTGTCTGAGAGTTGACTTGGGGCAGAGCACTGCTAATTCATGTTGTCATCGCGTCCGCCTTGTTTTGTTCTAAGAATCATCCTAGTTGGCCGTTAATGGGTATTTTAAAGATTCTTCATAGAAGGCAATGTTTTAGTCAGTCTTTGCTTATCCACTGCAAACTCAAGTCACGGACTGTTTTATGTCATTCCTTTGCACATTTGATGGTGGCTGAATATTTTTTAATAGTTACTCTGCTCCTAGGCTACTACGTCCTAGCGACCATTTCAATACCAGCTGACCATTTGAAAATAATCCACGACATCCTTAACAATTATCGGGGAATGTTAATGTTTTAAATCGGAAATTGAAAGATCAAGCATTCTCATGAGTAATAAATGTAAACCGCTGAACTTCTTTCTTTTTTTTTTTTTTTATGGTGACTTATTTATTTTGAGAGTGACAGAGCACGATCATGCATGAGCTGGGGATGGGCAGAGAGGGAGAGAGGGTGAGAGAAAATCCCAAGCAGGCTCCATGCTGCCAGCGCAGAGCCCGACGTGGGGCTCAGTGTCACAAACGGTGAGATCATGACCTGAGCTGAAATCAAGAGTTGGACGCTTAACCGAATGAGCCACCCAGGTGCCCCTAAACTGCTAAACTTCTTAAGACACTGTTGGGACCATTGATTTCTTAATTCTCAGCCAATGGTTCCCCACTGTAAATATCTGCCTCTTTGGCCTTTTATTCAAAGTCTTCCAAAATCCCATCTTGACAAAATGTGTTAGCCTTTCATCTCCCGTGTCCTCCTACCCACACCCCTTCCTTTACTCTGAAAGAGTCTTTAAACATTTGTTCAGGTGATAGCTCTTTAGCTTCCAAAGTTGACCTGGGCCTCCCATACTAGTCACGCTCCTGCAGATGGACAAAATCCTGTGGCTGATAAGAGGGAATATTTACCATTGGAAACTGAGAGCATGAAAACCTTCAGAAAATCAAATCTGTGATGCAGAAAAACTTCAGCGGGGGACACGTGCCAAATAAAGTCACGACGCCATTACAAAACTATGGCATGGTTGGGAGAAGTTTTGGAGATCTGGGATAGTGGTTTGGGACTTTTTCTGCCTGCAACACAACCACGTAAGTGGTTAAATGAAAAACAAAGAGCTGAAACAGGAGAGGGGGTGGATTCCAGTATTTCTGGCTTCATACGTATTTGACTACTTGTGACTCAGAATGTGGGCAGGGTCATCCGCATCGTGTAGGAGGGGTTAGAAATGCAGGCTCGGGGGCTCACTCTAGGCCTGCTGGATCCGAATCAGAGTTTTAACAAGATTCCCAGCTGGTTTACATGAACATTAATGTCTGGGGGGCACTGCTTTCATTTCACCGAGCCTCAGGTTCCTCATCTGCAAACTGGGAATAACAAAATCATGTTTAAAAGGCTGTGATGAGTCTAAATGACCTATAACACATCAGTGTGCCCAGTACAGTGCCTGGCACATGGTCGGTAGCGGAGAACTTGTTTTGGAAGATTTCACATAGCTGGGTAAGTTTGACTATGACCCGTTGAGACTCCGATTCTGCTCTGATCTAGTCCCATCACGAAATATAGAGGAATGGGGGCTGGCTCTTGTTAGTTGGTCATTAGGATCTCAGAAAATTTGCAAGCTAATTGTTAAATACAGCCACTGTTAGAAATTAAATCCTACACTTAAAAATAAGGAAATTAGATTAAAAACAAGTGTAATAAATATGCAAAACATTGCTTCCTAATTACTCTACCGTGTTCGGCCATTATCTATGCTCATGAGATTATTCACCTCTGTCTGCTGTATCCGTACAGTGGAAATACCATACAATGGTGCCTATTTCTGGCCAACCCTGTGTCCAGTGACCTCACTTTGGTCGCTTGAAATGGACCACTGTGGGAGTACTTACACCAGGGAAATCAGCAAATTCTACACACCAGGCCTTTATCCCTCAGAAAGCCAGTCATTAAACATTTACAGGCATGCCACTAAATACAGAACTTACAACTACCCATCAGTAGAGTAAAAAATCTGGAATTGGTGAGAGATTACCCTTTTTTTTTTTTTTTTTTTTGCATCAGGTGATACTAAAAAATGTTCTTTAGGAGGTTTGAATGATGACATAAGTTAGACATATTATTAAGGGCTTGTTTTCAAATTCTCTAACACATGCCCTTCCTTCATCAGCAAAGCTGACTTTCAGAAAGTTGACATGGTGTAAAACTCAGTATTCTTATGTGCAACCTTTTCATAATATCCTCCTGGTTTTCTTCTAAAAGATACCCTAATCAGCTGTTGGTTCATATCTTTAAAAAGCATCACAGAAGGCAATCGATTTTAGTAATGTTAGTTTAATCCGTAGCATGAAATGATTTTCCGTGAGATTTTGTACCATTGTATAGAATCTGAATATTGTTCGGAAAAAAGCATTAATTATGCAAAAGATAACTTGCTTTTTCTTTTTAATCCAATGGCTGTTGTGCTATTGCAGACTCTCACCCGCATATGCAAGTAGAACAGAAGAAGGGGCAATAAACAACAGAAATTCAGACAATTTAAGAAACATAAATGGGGGCGCCCAGCGGCTCAGTCGATTGGGTGTCTGACTCTTGATTTCAGCTCAGGTCATGATCTCAGGGTCATGAGACTGAGCCCCGTGTCGTTGGGTTCTTCATGGAGCATGGAGCCTACTTCAGATCCTCTCCCTCTCTCTCCCTCTTGCCCTCCCCAGCTTGTACTCTCTCTCTCTCTCTTTCAAGAAAAAAAAGGAAAAGAAATGGAGGTTTGTATATAGCTTTTTGGGGAAGAATAGTGAGTAATCAACTTTACATAGAAGATTTCAACAATAGGAGCAAAATAATGAGATGAGGTCATCCAAGAAGGTGGATAATTGACTCAGGGTTATAAATCAGGAATGCACTGTCAGTGGGGAATTATAACCTGTCTCCTTCTCTGTGAGTGGGGTGAGAATAATTAACTCATTTATTTAACCAGCTGAGACGTTCAGTCACCTATTTGCTCACTTCCATCCTGGTAGCTGAGTGTTAGTATCCCCACCTTATGGGAAGGAGGGAGTGGAGAGGGGGCAAGGAGGCAGGGGGGCGGACAGCCACACACTCTAGACCGTCCCTTGCCTGCAGCTCTCTTGACTTAAGGGCTCATCTCCAAACCATCGACCTATTGGTTGTGGGGCAATGAAAATAAAAGCAAATGACCTTCCTTTTTACCTCACCAGCCTCCCACACAAAGTTCCAGGAAGAACCTTTGAAGGAGGGCGGAGCAGACAGTTACTGAAGTGGAGCGATGGATGGACTGCCCTGTGGCTCAGCGGCCTCGACTGCCATCCCCTCTCCCTCCCGCCACCACAGTGGGCCCGGGCTGTGAACACGCAGATGCCCCTGGGAAGGGATGGATTAACTATTGTTACCAATCTTTAACTCATTTGCAAGTTTCCATCCAGCCTGACCATATAGCATCATCAAAGAAAATATTCTGTTTACATTTAATATAATACAGGTTTGGGTTTATCTCTACCACAGATCTAGTTGGGGAAAGCAATTAGCATAAAGCGTGTTTACCTAGATTATATGTATTTATTATATAGTTACATAGCACTAGCTCTGGTTATTCATGAGAATGATACTGTTCAAACACTGGAGCACAGTGCCTGGCACATGGAGAACACCCAATAAATAGTTGGTATTTCGAGTGCTCAAGTATCAACTATAAAGCAAATTTTTCTGTTCCTTTCTCTTTTGAGGACTCCGAAAAAAATATCTAATTGGCCATCAACCGAGTAAAAATGCATGTTAAAAGGCACTTTCAGCACAGTAAATCTGGGAGTGCAAAGTGATGGACATACAAAAGATACAGGCAGAGCTGGATTAGTACGACTCACTGAAAACTAGTTCCCTGAACCGGACCTCCTCAGAGGACCATCTGCTGTATGCTCCACACACACAGGTCTTTCCTCGTCTCTCTCCGGGAACACTGACATTGTGATAGTGGATATTTACCTCTGTCAGGGTAGACGGTCCCTGTGTCCCTTTTACCAGATTATAACCTAGGTTTCGTACCCACAATTACATCTGTCCCCAGGATCCCTATCAGGAATTCTGTGACCCAATGGGCTAGGCAAGGACAGCTGCAGGGCAGGTCTACACTGGCTTTGGGTCTATGAGAGGCAGGCAGAGGAGGGAGAGCTTAGGAGCCCTGATGGTTCATGAATGGGGACCTAGTGATGAGGCCAATGAACTGGGAATCACAAAAGGGGTCACATCATTTATTACTCTCCCTTCTAACCCTAGGCTTCTGGATAGTCCACGCGGAAAAACTGCTGCCCAATATAGAACATTCCTCTGTGACCCCAGGGACTTAGAAAACAGACACATCGACCATGGTTATCAAAGCAGTGGAAGACATCTCAAATTGTCAAGACGGCTGCCATGAGGCCAGGAAACTGTGGTCTGTGTGCTTTGGGAAAGGATGCTATTCAAGCAGGGGCAGGTGAATCCAAGTGTTTTCCGGACCTGCGGGACTATTTAAATTCCACCACATTTGTGTGACACCCACCTGTCTGCTATGTAGCCGATACCCACAGAACCGATAAAAAATCCTACATTCACAGCCGACTGAAACAGGTCCAGCATCCAGGAACTGGCACACACTAGGTTAAACTGCCGAGGGGCGAGAGGTTTCCCGGGTCAGGAGAGAAAACAAAATCCTGTTAGACACAGCTCAGCCCAGGGAACTCCTCGAATATTCCTTGCCTTGAGCTGATGTGGATGAATGGCAATAAACCAACTGGTTTTTTTTTTTTTTTTTTTTTTTTTTTTTTTTTTTTTTTTTTTTTTTTTTTTTTGCTTATGTGAATTTTCCTTATACAACCAAGAGATTTGTCCCACGATCTATTTAGCCTTCCACCTAGAAGCATGTCATTAAGCCAAAATCCGTTGTTGGTGAAACCAGCTGAAATCAGGTAAGTACTCCATGTTGCTCCATTTTCCCTTTCTAATGTTGATACGAAAAAGCAAATGGGTGTGTAAGCTGGATGCCAACGCTGGCCCGAGGGAGCTGGGATATTCAGCATCTCTTTGCTGTCTCTTTAACAGTAGGGGAATCGGGGTCAGGGGGTGTCTGAGTCAGTTAAGCTTCCGACTCTTGATTTCAGCTCAGGTCATGATCTCACGGCTTGTGAGATCGAGCCCCGCATCGGGCTCCTTCTGACAGTATGGAGCTTGCTTGGGATTCTCTCTCCCCTGCCCCTGCTCATGCTCTCTCCCTCTCTCTCACAAAAATAGATAAATACACATTTAAAAAAATAGTAAGGGAATCTGGAATGTTTTCACAGCCTGCTACATTCGCTCTCATTTGGAACAAGAGGCAATGTTGAAGGAACAGGTGGAAATTTGGTTTCTAGAGTGAACTGTTAACTCTGTGGCCTTGGGCAAAATTTTTCTCTGTTCTGGGCCTCAGTTTTCTCATCTCTGTATGAAGGGATGAGATTAGCAACGTTGCAAAGCCTCTTGAAATTGTATGATGTTATATCTGTGATCTCTATCTACGGTTTCATGTAAGCATCGGACCATTTAAGAAAAGCTCCTGTACCGGGGAGCCTGGGTGCCTCAGTCGGTTGGGCCTCTGACTTCAGCTCAGGTCATGATCTCTTGTTCAGGAGTCTCAGCCCCTGCTGGGTTTCAGGTGATTGAAGCGTGAGAGCCTGGAGCCTGCTTTGGATTCTGTGTCTCCCTCTCTCTGCCCCTCCCCTGCGCATGCCTCTGTCTCTGTCTCTCTCTCTCTCCCAAAAGCAAATAAACATTAAAGAAA